ATGACTTCCTTTGAATGTGCCATAGCAAACCCCTTAAAAAGGGGTGATATAAGCATTCTATATTTCTTTCAGACCCCAGTATATTTTTAGAGGGTTTTGACAGGGACCAGAGATGTGGTTTCATGGGTATAGTTGATGCCCACTGAAGAAACACCTTCTACCAACACCAATGGATAAATTGCTCTGCAATTCATAGTCTTAGAGAATTGCCTGGGATGCTAAGAAATTAAGTGATTCACTCATAGTCATGCAGCTAATGTTTATCAGAGATGAGACTTGAACCCAGGTTTTCCTGACTAGGAATCAGGCTTTGAATTTACTATTTATGCTGTTTTATGTTTTTGTTTTCCATATGTACTGATTGATAAGGAAGTCCATGTAGTGTATAGAGAGGTTTTGAAATATATGCACTACATGTTTTCTATGTATCCTTCAGAGCAAAGGACACTTTGAATTAAACACAAAACAAACAAACAAAAAACCCACTATGTTGAGTAACTGCTATGTAGTAGAATAGTACAGGGCTGGCCTCATCCAAGAAGAAATAGGTTCAATTCTGGCCTTTAACATATACTTGCTGGGTGACCCTTGGGGAAGTCACTTGATCTTCATGTGACCCTTACAGTTTCCCAAGAATTTAAACTGTAGGACAATTGCTGATCTGCTTCAGCAGGGGGAGTTTCCTCGAAGAGAATTCCTTTCCTGAATAAAATGCCAGAGCTAGTTTAAAAAAAAAAAGTTAGACAGATGAAGATTAAGCTCTGGGGAGATGTAAAAATTAAATAAGACTGTTTCTGCTGTCGTGGGCCTCAGAGTCAAGAAGGAGAAAATAACCAATACATGAATAGGGATAGTGGTCTGGCTTTTCAGTCAAGAAGTCCTGGATTCAAGTCTAGTCTTTGAGGAATACAAGTTGTGTGACCCTGGGCATGTCACTTAACTTCTCTAAGGCTATATATGGCTGTCTTTGGAGACACTGGTAAAGACAGTTTCTGTAAACTGCTTAGAACACTAGAGAGAATACACTAATTAAATTACAAGCCATTACCATAAAACTTTTTATTTGACTATAGTTCCTTCACATTTTCCCTTGCTTCATCTTCTTTCAGGCTATGCCCACTAAACTTGGATGTTCCCTAAGTCTCTGGCTTGGGCTCTTTTCTCTCTCCTGTTTCTCTTTGGTAATCTATCAACCCCCATAAGTTTAAATTTTATCTCTATAAAGATAATTCCCACACCTATATGTCTGGTCTTTTAAACATCATGAATTGAATGTCCCATAGACATCTCAAATTCAGAATGTCCAAAGTAGAACTCATCTTCAGCTCAAACACTCCCCTCTCCTCAACTTTCTAATTGCTGTAGAGGGTTCCACCATCCAGGTGGTCTATCAGGCTCTACACCTTGGTGTCATCCTTGGTCCTTTACTGTCATTTTCCCTACATAGCCAATCTGGAAAGGAGGGAATAAACATTTACATAATGCCTACTATGTGCCAAGCACTGTGCTAAGTGCTTTTTACAAATATTATCCATTTGGTCCTCTCGACAACCCTGGGAAGTAGGTGCTATTATTATCTCCATTTTACAGTTGAGGGAAACTGAGGCCCACAGAGGTTAAGTGACTTTCCCAGGGTCACATAATTAGTATCTGAGATTGACTTTGAACTCAGGACTTCCTAACTCTAGGCTCCACAGTCTTATCTATTATTTGTCTTTTGTTTTCCAAGAGGATATCATGACATCATGGGGTGATGTCTTGACTTGTGCATGAATTGGATTTATGCCAGGCAGAGTTGCATAAAGTTGTCAGACTCTCTCTTCCTAAGTCATTGAAGTCCAGTGGTAAGACTTTGAAAAGACAGGACAATTGGCAGTAATGGTCCAGGATCCAGGGGATGCCCGACCAAGCTCCAAGTGCTCCACAGAACTTACTTCAACTGCCTTAATAGCTGTTGGAACAAGTTGTTCTCATCCATCCATTTGGCCAGAGGAAGTCTTAGGTGCTTGGGGTAGATAGATGTGCTGCTAACTCATCGACAGTTTGAGGTCTGTTGGTTACCTTCAGCCTAGTTTAGCTGGCTTGCTGAGACAGTTTTACCAGTGTGTGGCCATTGCACATGCTATATAACTTCTTGGAGCCACAGGTGAGAGTTGGATGAAAGGTGGACACCAAAGGTGCATGAGTAGCCCTGAATAGGGCTCAGCAAGCTCTCCCACCAGAGGTCCTATTCCTCCTTGAATACCCCATAAACCTCATAGACCTCTTATAGCTCTACTGTACCACCAGCTGCCTCCAATCTCTTGTGTTGTTTTAATCTTCACATCATCTCTTGTGTGTATGTTTACATGTATGTATGTTTTATGTGTGTATGTATGTGTGTGTGTATATATATATATGTATATATATTCCCTTTTTTACCCTCAAAAAACCACTACCCTAGTCCAGATCCTCATGACCTTTCAGCTAAACTATTGATATATCATTCTGTTCAGTCTCCCTGACTTGAATTTCTCTCCTCTACAATCCATCCTCCAAAGTGATCTGCCACCTGCTAAAGTGATTCTTCTAAAATGAAGACTGTCTCTATCATTAGTCTACTCAGTAAACTCAAGTGACTCCTTATTACCTTCTGGATCAAATATATATTTCTCCGCTTGACATTTTATTTTTTTTAGGCAATTGGGGTTAAGTGATTTGCCCAGGGTCACACAGCTAGTAAGTGTGAAGTGTTTGGTCTGAGGCCAGATTTGAACTCGGGTCCTCGTGAATCCAGGGCCGGTGCTCTATCCACTGTGCCACCTAGCTGCCCCTGTGCTTGACCTTTAAAGTCCTTCAAGCCTAGACCCTTCCTACCTTTCCAGTCTTCTTATACATGCCTCCCACTCCTGAGCTTTACAATCCAGCCACACTGATTTATCTGTTAGTACTCATACTTAACTCTTCATGCTCCGGTTCTATGTCTGTGCACTGGCTGTCCCCTGTACTTGGAATACTCCACCTCCTCACCTCCACCTTTCATTTCCCTGGACTTCTTTAGATATTCAGCTCAAATCTTACCTCCTTCAGGACACCTTTCCTGAGCCCCCTAAACTATTAATCTCTTTCCTCTGAGATTACATTTAATTTACACTGTACTTAGTATATGTGTTTGTATTTATTGTAGATTGTCTCCCTCATAGAATGTGAGCTCTTTGAGGGCAGGGACAGTTTTTGCCTTTCTTTCTGTCACTTAGCACATTGCCTGGTATACAGTAAATGCTTGTTGACTGACTGACTAGTATGTGATCACATGAAACCATTTATCTTCCCTATTTCTTCATCTACAACATAGAGAGAATAGAATTTTAAAATAATTTAATACTTTTAAAAAAAGTATTCTCTCTTCTACTACTTTTTCCTTGTGAATAAATTAAAACAACAACAAATCCCTCACTATAGATCTACCTAATCAGTCAAAACAAATTTGCACATTACCTATGTCTGAAAATTTATTTTTCTTTCTGTATTTTAAGTTCATCACCACTCTATCTAGAAGTGCATAGTGTTTTATTTCTTTTTTTTTGTACTCATGGTTAATCATTTTGTTGATCAAAATTCTAAAGCTTTGAAAAGTTGTTTTTCTCCATAATATTACTATCATTGCACAAATTGTTTTCATTTCTGCTCACTTCACTCTGTATCAGTTCATATAGATCTTCCTAGTTTTTCCTGAAATTGTCCATTTTGTCATTTCTTATGGCACAGTCATATTCCATTACATTCATATACCACAATTTGTTTAGCCATCATCACCTTCATTTGTTTTAACATATTCTTCCATACTTGTCAACTGAGTGAGACAGCTCTTGCAGCAAAAAATAAAAAAGAAAGTGAAAGAAAAATGATAAACACAATTCAACAATCCTAATCAACACCAACCAATCATGGCATTTTCTCTGTTTCCCACTTATATTCCCCATCTCTGCACACAAGGGAGGAAGTTGCATTTTGGGAAAATGTACCTGTTTTTTTAAAAAAACAACATTTTGTTTTTCCTCAATTACATGCAAAGACAATTTTTAACATTCATTTAGAAAAAATTTTGAGTTCCACATTTTCTCTCTCCCTTCCTCCTTCCCTCCCTAAGATGGTAAGTAATTTGATGTAGGTTATATATGTGCAATCATGTAAAGCATTTCCATATTTGTCATGTTATGAAAGAAGAAACAGACCAAAAGAAAAAACACACAAGAAATAAAGTGAAAAATAGTATGCTTTGATCTGCATTCAGACACTGTCGGTTCTTTCTCTGGAGATGGGTAGCATTTTTCATCATGAATACTTTGGAATTGCCTTGAATCACTGTATTGCTGAGAATAGCTAAGTCATTTATACTTGATCGTCATACAATATTGCTATTACTGTGTACAATGTTTGTCTGGTTCTGCTCATTTCACTTTGTATCAGTTTGTGTAAGTCTTCCCAGATTTTTCCAAAAGCATCCTGCTCATCATTTCTTATAGCACAATAGTATTCCATTACAAGCATATACCACAACTTGTTCAGTCATTCCCCAATTGGTGGGCATCCCCTCAATTTCCAATCCTTTGCTTCCAGAAAAGAGCTACTATTAATATTTTTGTACAAATAGGTCCCCCTGCTTTAAAATCTCTTTGGGATACAGACCTAGTAGTGGTATTGCTGGAGCAAAGAGCATGCACAGTTTGATTACCCTTTGGGCATAGTTATAAATTGTTTTCCAGAATGGTTGGATTGGTTCCCAACTTCATTCAGTGCATTAGTGTCTCAATTTTTCCTATATCTTCTCCAATGTTTATCAGGAAAATAGAACTGTTACAAAGAGAAACAAATATGAGTAAATAAGTTTATTACGTAGGATAGTCCTGTTGGTATGATACCATTAAATTAATCTGACTAGATAAGAGTCAAAACAGTAAATGCTATTGATTGCCTTATCATTCACTTAAATTTTGCTCACATGTCTCACTTTCTCCTAGGTACAAATGCAGATTTTCCCATGATATTCATTTGCCTGGAAATAGCAAAACCTTAAAAAATAATGCACTTTTTGGCATCAATGAATCAGAGCTCAAAGTCCTGCTTTTTCAGAATGATCCTTCCCTTTTGCCTGAGGTGAGTCATAGAAACACTAATAATGGGATGGTACAGGAAATCCAGTATTAATGTACCTACTATGAAACTCTCTCCTAAGTGCAATGCACTTTGCTAGTTGCATACACACATTTGCAACAGGTTAATAGAGTACTTAGCTTGGTCTTTGTACCCAAGGCGCTTAAGAATATGGTTAAGAAGTGGGGTGATATGTGGCTACCAATGGTGGTACAGATCTCTTGAGATCAAATGGGCCTAGAATCTGCTGCAGAATTGTTGAAGATTTTCACCTCTGGAAACAGTATGGTATTGAACTAAGGGGTATGCTAGAAAGAGTATTAGACTGAGAGTCCAAAGATCTCAGTTTTTGTCCCAACTCTATGACTCATCTGCTGAATAACCTTAGCAAATCATTTAACCACTCTGGGATACAGTTTACTTACCCTTTAAAATGAGAACATTGAATGAGAACAGTGGTAGCCTGGTGAAGTTTATGGACTCCTTTTTCAGAATAATGCTTTTAAATGCATATGAATACGAAAGATTTCAATGGAAATGAATTATGTCGAAATGCAATTATCAGAATGTTAAAAAAAAACAAAACATAAAAACACAAGTTCATGGGCCCCAGGTTAAGAACTCCTGAGCTAGATGATCTCCAGCATTTCTGCAATTCTATAATGCTAAATAAGGTACAATTTATTATTATTTATTATAATTTATTTATTTGTTATTATTTTATATTATTACAATATTAATTAATACAATAATTATATTATTTATTATAACTTATTATATATGTGTGTATTTTATTTATATATAAAAACAATTTTAAACATTTTCTAAAATTTTGAGTTCCAAATTCTCTTTTTCCCTCCTTACCTTTGCCCTTGATTGAGAAGGCAAGCAATTTGATATAGGTTATACATGTGCAGTCATGCAAAACATATTTCCATATTAGTCATACGGTAAAAGAAAACATGGACCAAAAAAACACCAAGAAAAATAAAATTTAAAAAGGTATGCTTCAATCTGCATTCAAACTCTTATCAATTCTTTTTCTGGAGGTGGATAGCATTTTTCATCATAAATCCTTCAGAATTGTCTTAGATCATTTTATTGCTGAGAATAACAAAGTCATTCACAGTTGATTATTGTACAGTGTTGCTGTTACTGTATACAATGTCCCTAGTTTCTGCTTACTTCATTTGCTTCAGTTCATGTAAGTCTTTCTAGATTTTTCTGAAACCATCCTTCTCTTCATTTCTTATAGCATCACAACACAACTTGTTCAGCCATTCCCCAATTGATGGGCATTCCCCCCATTTCCAATTGTTTGTCCCTACAAAAAGAACTGCTATAAATATTTGTGTACATATAAGAACTTTCCCCCTTCTTTATGTCTTTTGGATACAGACTTTGGAGTATTGTTGGGTCAAAGGGTATACACAATTTTGTAGCCCTTTGGGCATAGTTCCAAATTGTTCTCCAGAATGGTTGGATCAGTCCACAACTCTTTCGTTTTCAAAGAGAATCAGTGACATCATGGGTGATGTCTTGACGTGTTTGTGAATTGGATTTAAGTCAGGCAGAGTTTGGCAGAGTCCTTAGCCTCATTCTCCTTTCCTGAGTCATTGAAGTCCAATGTCAGGACAGAAGTCAAGATAAATGGCAATGGCCCAGGATACACTGGATGACCTTGGTGTCTTCAATTCCTGACCAGGCTCTAAGTCTTCCGGCTCCTGCTTCAGCGGCCTTCATGGCTTTTGGAACAAATTGTTCTCATCCACCCCTGCTTAGGGTAGACATCCCTCTAATTCATCCACAGGTTTGAGGCCTGTTGGTTACCCTCAACCTGCCTGTCTGCTGAGATGTCTTTACTGCGTTATGGTTGCTGTGCATGCTACAGCTTCTGGAGCCACAGAAGTGGCTCAGAAGTGCCACAGGGTGGCAGGTAGACATAAAAGGTAGATGAGTAGCCCTGAAAAGGGCTCAGCAAGCCCTCACAACAGAGTTGTTAGTCCTCCCCAAACACACTGGGGATTAGTAGAGTGTTGAGAAGACAAGAGACTACTAAATGGACTAAAACTAACTAAAACACTAAATGGACTACCTTATAAAACAAATCATAAACTACCCATCACTATAAGTATTCAAGAAGAGGGCAGAACCAACAGATATTATAGAAAGGATTCTTTCATTGGCTCTGAAGTTGGAATCTGACTTCTGATAACTCTCAACACTGAGAGTCTAAAATGCAAAATAAGAAAACTAACTTGATAGGGTTGTTGTTTTGTCCTTCATTCTTGAAGAGGATCTTGGTCAGGAAGATGATGCCATAATTTGCAAGTGAATTGGAGTTAAGTGAAGGAGGACTGTACAAGGTCACCAGCCTCACTTTCTCCTCTGGAGCCATCTGTCCAATAGCAATACATAGATCAGAATGACTGGAGATGGCCCTGCACTGTAGCAGCTCCACCAAAGGATATGTTTGCATAGCCAATTTGTACGAGATGGTTGTCTCAAAGAACAAGAAAGGAGGTGGAACTTTGCCCAAAGGGCTATAAAAATGTGCACACCCTTTGACCCAGCAACAGCACTTCTAGGTCTGTATTCCAGAGAGATCATACAAATGGGAAAAGGACCCACATGTACAAAAACATTCATAGCAGCTCTTTTTGTGGTGGCAAAGAATTGGAAATTGAGAGGATGCCCATCGATTGGGGAATGGCTGAACAAGTAGTGGTACATGAATGTAATGGAATACTATTGTGCTATAAGAAATGATGAACAGGCTGACTTCAGAAAAACCTGGAAAGACTTGTATGGTCTGATGCTGAGTGAAGTGAGCAGAATCAGGAGAACGTTGTACACCGTAACAGCCAAGTCATGCAATGACTAATATTGATACAGTTAACCCTTCTCAGCAATGCAAGGATTTAAGACCTCTTCAAAGGCTTCATGATAGAAAATGCTATCCATCTCCGGAGAAAGAACCATGGAGTTTGAATGCAGATTAAAGCATACTATTTGCTATTTTTTTCTTCTGTTGTGTTTTGTTTCCTCTTTCTGGTGGTTTCTCCTATGGATTCTAATTCTTACAACATCTCTAATGTGAAAGTATGTTTAATAGGAATGTATATGTATAGCCTATATCAGATTGTGTGCCGTCTTAGGGAGGGAAGTAGGGAGGGAAGTGGGGAGGGAAGAGGAGAAAAATTTAAAACTCAAAAGCCTGTGGAAGTGATTGTTGAGAATTCAAAATAAATTAATTTAAAAAAAAAAAGAAAGGAGGTGACTAGGGAACCAACGGCTAAAATTGAAAATTAATTTCAATTCCATTGTTAAGGCTTAGTCAAATTAGGTTTAATATTCCCCTTTGCAGTAAGTTTTACTCAGGTAACCTCAGTTCATTTGCGTCACAATTCTGTTCTTGTGATCTAGGTAACCTATGAGTCATTTATTGGGTGGGGTAGCCAAAAAAAGAAAGAGAAGGTCACTAAGCATTTTGTTACGATTAGCTCCTGCCCTTCTCATTTCAGTTTACAACTTCACCCTTGCAATTTCACCCATGAAACTTGCGTAAAGGTCAAGTCTTGTAATTTTGTCTTGTGATTACCTCCCCTCTAGACTCAATTTTATTGTGAATTGAATTGCTGTATTGTCTACCTTTGTAGCCTCACCATCTACCCACTTTGCTCAAATTTAAGTTGATTCAGTCAAAGTCTTTGTAGACTATACCCTTGTCTGCAGACTGATCCTATCACTGGAGGATTACTCCCATCTCCCAAAGAGGAAGTAATGGGGAAGAGCTGAGATGATTTATAACCCACCTCCTCATTAAAATGCCTACCAACTGGGATTGTCATGATGTAATGCCATCTTGTTAATTGTTATGAAAGACCCTGTCAACCCTCACTCCCAGTCTTTAGTAACGAGAGAGAGGGTGCAATTCTACTGGCTTAATCTCAGTTGAAGCTAAGTTTTTCAAGGAAGAGCTCATGTTCAGCCATTTTCCAATGGGTTATTACCACAAAAAGTGATTCTATGACTATTCTGGTATTTATGACTGTTCTAGACTCCCTTGGGCATATATGCTCAGTAGTGAGATCACTGGGTCAGAGTATGAATAGTTTGCTTATAGCTTTAGGTTGTCCCACAAGTCTTGGTGCAGTTTTAAGCTTTCATAGCTTAAATGAGTGCACAGTGTCTGGCACATAGTAGGCGCTTAATAATTTAAGTTTCCATAGCTTAAAACTACACTAACACTTTTGGAACATCCTGTAGCTCTTGATGCTATGTAAAGAGATATCTTGTGTCACAGTGGATAGATGATATCAATCATGAGGGCTTGTGGAAGATCATGGCAAAATTTGGTTGCCTGGAGAAGTTCATCAGCGCTGTACACGAGTTCCATGATGGCATGCTTGCACGGGTTCTGGATTACGGATGGTGTTCTTGTGCTTTCCCATTCACCAATGGAGTGAAGCAGGGTTGTGTGCTTGGTCCATGCTTTTTAGCATGATGTTTTCAGTAACGTTGTGAGATGCCTTTAACGAGGATGAAAGTAGCATTAAGATCAGCTATCATGCCAAAGGTAACTTATTTTAAAAGGCTACAGTTATTCAAAAAGGCTGTAAACTAAGACTAAAGTGGAGGGAGAATTGGTGCGCAACTCTTTGTTCAAAGATGATTGAACACTCAATGCAGTCTCTGACTGAGATGCAGCGGAGTATGGATTAGTTCTCTGCCATTTGTACTAATTTTGGCCTGATTATTAACACCAAGAAAACAGAGGTTCTTCACCATTCAGCACTACACCATCCATACGTGGAACCACTAGTTACAGCAAGTGCAGAAATTTTGAATGCTGTGGATAAGTTAACTTACCTTGGCAGGATATTTTCCAGGAATGTCCAATAGATGATGAGGTTGATGAACACATTGCCAAAGCTAGCTCTCTGTTTGGCAGGCTGTGAAGGAAGGTGTGGGAGAGAAGAGGTATGAGACTGACTACCAAA